TATTAGAAACATCTTAGATGAATACATCGTCATTGAAAACACTAAAAGAAACGAGGTCCGATCCATCAATAGATTAATGTATGTTTTTTTTATTATATCTTAAATTTGTTTTCATATTTGTAGGATTCATGTCATCAAACAAAAATTGTAATTATATCTTTATAAGACAACTGAATGTATTTGACGAAATGGATTATAAAAGTATCCATACTTCGAAAATATCCCATTAAGATCTGCAACAATAAGACCGACCATGTTGAAGTTTTAAAACTAATTTTGTGTGATGGAGATGTGTTATATAATATTAGAATTAGTCAATAATTTTCTTATAAAAGTTTCACTATTATACTAATAGGTTATTTTTTTATAAAGTTTTCAGAGAAGTAATTTTCAATTTATGTAACGAGGAAATTACACAAAACCAAATTTTTAAAGATTCAATTTCAAAAATCAGATATAAACTTTATTTATACAAAAATCAAATTTTAATTTATCTATATTTAAATTATAATTATCAAAACCCTAAAAATCTCAAATCATTTATCACATATCTCTCTATCCTATCATATCCTCTCCTATCTCTCTCTTTCTCGCCGTCTTCTTCCCCTCCTTTCTCTCTCACTTCTTCCCCTCGCAAGTCCGTCGTCGTCAAAGGAGAGAACTGGATCGATTATGTTTCCAAATTTGCTACAAAGGAGCCGGCTCCTGTTGCCAAGCCCAAGGCAGCCGCTACCATTGCTAAGCCAACTGCCAAGGCTAAACCTGTTCCTGAGGCTAAGCTACCTCCGCGGCGATCATTTGCAGAAATTTGTTTCTGTTTTCTCATGGTAGATTTGAGGTGGTTGTGGTGGTAATTGGTGAAACAAGCAATGGCGATTGGGGTGGTTTCGAGTCAATCTGGTCGGTCGAAGTTTTACGTGGTTTTTGTTGGCGGTTTGCAAATGGTGATAGTGGTGGTGGTGGTGTAGTTCGGATCAATGGGTGGTAGTTATATGATGTGCAACAATCTCAGGTCGGTAGTGGTGCTGGTGGTTTTTTATGGTGTTGGGTGGTTTTCTGTGGTGATTTGGTCGTGATTGTTTGTCGGTGGTGGTGCAGGCGGTGGTGGCGACGATGGTGCAGGCGGTGGTGCTTCTGTTTTGTAGGTTGTCGAGGTGTAGTGAGGTGCGTGGCTTTTGGTTGTTGTCGGTGGAGCGGCGATATGAATGTTGTGGTGGTGTAGGGGGAGGGGGTAGGGTGAGGTGGGAATAGGGCTCGTGACCAATTATTTGGGCGTTGTAACCTATAAATTACTAATTCGTGACCGTTGAATAATATGTGACCTTGATGATTGTGTGATTGTGCTTAAATTTGTAGTTGTGACTTAGATTTTGATAAATTGTGACCAATTAATTTGATAATCAGTGATCATAAAATTTATGATTTGTGATAAAAAAAATAATATGTGACTAATTAATTTGTGACATATAAAACTTATGATTGAAAATTTGTAACTATCTATTAAGTTGTGACTTATAATATTTGTGATTGATGAATAAATTGTGACATATAAATTTTTTTATTTGTGACCGACGAACAAATTGTAACCTATAAAATTTTTTATTTGTGACCGACGAACAAATTGTGACCTATAAAATTTTTTATTTGTGACCGTAAAATAATTTGTGACCTATAAAATTTATTATTTGTAACCGATTAACAAATTGTGACTTATAAATTTTTTGAATTGTGACCGTAAAATAATTTGTGACATGTAAAATTATGATTTGTGACAAATTAATAATATGTGACCAATTTTATAGAATTTGTGACCAGATTATATGAAATTGTGACTTTAATATATTTAATTAATAAAATATATGTTTAATTAATTTATTTATAAATAAAATTTTAAAAAATATGAGATTTTAAATTTTAAACCTTAAAAAATTTGAAATTTGAAAATTTAAATGTTATCTCTTAAATTTGAAATTGGCAAAACTAAACATTTAGTTATGAAATTTTCCCTTATGTAATTTAAGGACACAATCGAAAAATTCTTTTCCATGCCCGAGAGAGGAAAAACATACTAACTTTGGAGTGGAAAAATAAGAACAATCAATCCTTATTTAACATTTTCACTTTATATACATAATTTCATAAATATCTTTTCACACACACACACACACACGCACACCAATATCAATTATTTTAGCCACATTGAAAAATAATATTAGTATTACAAAAATAATATGCACATCATTCTTTCGATATACAAAACGTGCAACGCATGTGTTTTCTACTAGTTAACTAAAAGGTGGACACCACATGTATAGCTTTCCATTTTCTAAATGGTAATTAGCACATAACGTCCATACATTTTACTAATATTATAGAAAACGGCATTACCTTTCATTTTTTTTGGCATTTTCGCTCTTATTATCACATTTTGTTGCACAGAAAGTCATTTTCATCCATTTTATCAATTAAAAATTGTAAAATGACGAATATACCATTTTATTAAATAAAACAAAAAGAAAAAGAAAGAATTAATTGAACCATAGTCCATTTTTTTTAAAAAAAGTGCAAACGAGTCTCAAATAAATTATTAAAAGAGTAATCAGTACATAATATTCATACATTCACTATTGTTGTGAAAAACGTTCATACTTTTTTCTTTTTTTTTTGAGATTTTCACCTTTAATTACACATTTAATTGTTCAAACCATCATTTCAATTAATTTTCATCCAATTTCTCAATTATTATATGAAATTGTGACGTTAATATATTTAATTAATAAAATATATGTTTAATTAATTAATTTATAAATAAAATTTAAAAAAATATGAGATTTTAAATTTTAAACCTTAAAAAATTTGAAATTTGAAAATTTAAATCTTATCTCTTAAATTTGAAATTGGTAAAACTAAACATTTAGTTATGAAATTTTCCCTTATGTAATTTAAGGACACAATCCAAAAATTCTTTTCCATGCCCGAGAGAGGAAAAACATACTAACTTTGGAGTGGAAAAATAAGAACAATCAATCCTTATTTAACATTTTCACATTATATACATAATTTCATAAATATCTTTTCACACACACACACACACACCAATATCAATTATTTTAGCCACATTGAAAAATAATATTAGTATTACAAAAATGATATGCACATCATTCTTTCGATATACAAAACGTGCAACGCATGTGTTTTCTACTAGTTAACTAAAAGGTGGACACCACATGTATAGCTTTCCATTTTCTAAATGGTAATCAACACATAACGTCCATACATTTTACTAATATTATAGAAAACGTCATTACCTTTCATTTTTTTGGCATTTTCGCTCTTATTTTCACATTTTGTTGCACAAAAAGTCATTTTCATCCATTTTATCAATTAAAAATTGTAAAATGACGAATATACCGTTTTATTAAATAAAACAAAAAGAAAAAGAAAGAATTAATTGAACCATAGTCCATTTTTTTAAAAAAAAATTGCAAACGAGTCTCAAATAAATTATTAAAAGAGTAATCAGTACATAATATTCATACATTCACTATTGTTGTGAAAAACGTTCATACTTTTTATTTTTTTTTTTTTTTTTGAGATTTTCACCTTTAATTACACATTTAATTGTTCAAACCATCATTTCAATTAATTTTCATCCAATTTCTCAATAAAAATTTGTGAAATGACGAATATATCTTCATATTTAAATTTAAAAAATGAAGAACTAATTGCAATCATAATCCCAATTTTTTTAAAAAGTGTAAATGAGTTCCAAATAAATTATTAAAAAATTAGAAATTAAAAAAAATTAATTTTCATTAATTTTTTAAATTTAAATAAGAGAGTATATTCGCTATTTTACAGTTTTTTTATTAAGAAGTTGAATGAAAATGAACAAAAAGAAAGGTTTGCGAAATCAAAAGTGTAATTAAGAGTGAAAATATCCAAAAATGTAAGACTAGAAAGCTTTTTACGATAATAGTAGATAATAACATTATGTGCTAATTACATTTTTAACAATTTATTTTAGACTCGTTTGCACTTTCTAAAAAAATTTGGAACTATAATTGCAATTATTTCTTTCTGTTTTATTTAAATAGAATCCTCATTTCACAACTTTTAATTTAAAAAAGGATAAAAAAGACTTTTTGTGAAATGAGTGTGTTTCATGGATATTATTGATTAAAGAATGTATTTTAAATAGTGATATGATAAAAAATATGTTGTTAAAAAATAAAGAAAAATTATTGATGTGATGAAAAATATTACATTATCGAAGAATGTGTGGTTAAAAATGANTGTGTTTGATGAATATTATTGAGGAAAGAATATATTTTAAATAGTGATATGATGGGAAATATGTGGTTAAAAAAGAAAGAAAAGTTATTGATATGATGAAAAATATTATTTTATTGAAGAATGTGTGGTTGAAAATGAGTTTTGAAAGAATGTATTTTAAAAGAATGTGTACCAAACATGGCAGAAATGTAAAAATAAGAATGAAAATGCCAAAAAACGAAAGATAAGAACGTTTTTCACAATAATAGTGAAAAATAATGACATTAAGTGCTAATTACCTTTTTCTAAAATATAAAATTAAACTACTTGGTTCTTGTTTGACAAGAAGAATTAATACTGACAAATAAACATGTTAAAGCAATATAGAAGGTCCACGAGAGGCACAATTTAAAGATTAGAGAACTGGGGTCAGCACAAGTCCCAGAGAGAGAGAGAGAGAGAGAGATCAGCAATCAATCCATTGGATCAACTATTTGAACACTAACTAATTCATCAAATACAACGCAGAATAAGAAATAACAAGCAACCCTCACATAGCAACAAACGTTTCTTCTTGAAGATAGCCCGATGCAACACTTCAAACCACGTCAAAGCAAATCCCGTATATTGCACAACACCCTATAAGTTAATCATCAAAAAACAGTCTTTAACATCACGCCAACACCAACAAATGGATTCCTCAGAATCTAAAACTTGACCATCTGTTACAACTTAGGTTCGGATGGTCGAGAGATGTTGCTGCTCCCACCACCACCTGTTCGGTTTGGTTCTCCCATTCTAGATGCCAAAGCCAGAATCTCAGGCGACATTTCCCAGTTTCCACTTTTCCTTCCCCAACTGGATCTCCTATGATGTATTCCAGCATGATCACCCTCATCCACAGTAGTCCTTATCTCTGGGGACATTTCTCCTAATCCACCATCTTTGCTGTTTAAGCCATCATTTTCAGACAATCGCCCTTCATGATGATCTAACACTGGACCAACATCTCCCCATACCGCCTTCCTACCCATCTCAATCTCATCTGCAGCTTTCCCCATATTTGGACTAACGAAACCCCCGCTGACAGTTCGGGCAGGTAAAGCAGGTTCTGCAGGGACCTTTGTCCTAAAATTGTTCTTAGATGGAGGAGTAGGACTGCAAAGTATCTCCTTGAAGTTCTGAATAACTCCTTTGTTATAGGGATTGGCACGTCGATCATATTTATACCTAAAATTCTCATAAGTTGTCTGCAACCAGCATGGGAATTCTTTTCATTATTTAGAATGGTTTTCTTAACATATGGAAAAACAAACAATTAAATAACTCAGATACTAAGTCACATGGAAAGATCAGCTCTTGCCTGATTTGTACTGATGAGAAACAGATGGAATGCAGTAAGACCACCAACAAACCAAACTGATATAAAGGTGTAGACGACTAGAACAATGGAAGCAGGGGTCTTGATCAGCGCTTTCCATATTGATGTCCGTTCATAATCCATGATCCTTTTTATGTAAACCCAGCAGAAACCAAAAACATATATACAAAGTAGAGTCGTCGAGAAGACAAACATGAAGAAGAACCGGTAATTCCTCTGCAACCAAAGCCGTCAAAAATTTAGACTGCAATGTCCACTTGCATTTACAAACCACGAGTCGTCAGTAGTGCCTTGATACTGTCCAAAGCAATTAGCAGTACATAGGATATCCAGTTCTAAATAGCGTGAACAAAGTCAGTTACCTAATGGTGATTTTAATTTAGAACTTAGCCCTTGTTTGGTTCCCATCATTTCTAAGAGTAATTTTCCCCTCTCTTATTTTTAACTATACATTCTTCAATAAAATAATATTACACGCGAACCCAAAATTTTTCCTTATTTTTTTAACCACATATTCTCCATCAAAATACTATTCCAAAATACATTTTGGACAAAAAATGGGGCTAAAACGGGCCCTTAATTATAAAGAGAACGAGGATTATGTTTATATCTAACATTACAGAAATGAATATCTATTTTTTAGCTAAGCCAGTTGAAGTTCAAGTACTCCTAGTCAATTTCACAGGAATTTCATGTACTCGGAAATATTTAACCTGAAATTTAGCAAAACAAAGGTACTGGCATTACATGCTTAAGATATAAAACCTACTGTCACTGCTCTTTTTACCTAAAGCAAGATTGATTTGGGACTTTGCAATCCCAATGGCAAAAATTGAAATTAGCAGCATTCCCTGCCATTTATCCATCCAAAAATGAATTATTTGGGTATGACTTCCACAGCCAAATGGATGTTTTATCAAAAATATATCACGTATCAATTTATTTAACCTTTTCTTCTTTTCTAATAAAAGGTTTCAAAATGGCAGTATTTCACAAAAATTATCTTACTATGCCAGTTATTCCCTCGAATAATAGTTATATTTAAGAAACTACACACAAGAAATCATCTGTTTGCTAGCAAAAGCCAAATCAAGAAAACCAAGTAGGATGGAGTTTCAATTAAGAGATCACAGCTGTATCATTGAGGGCTAGTATCCAATGGAGGAAGAGAAATTGCTTTACTTGGGTCACCTTGTCTTTCTCATGGTGACAGTCAAATTGAGATTAAACTTTGGACGAAACAGTGAAAAACTCCATCTAATGGTAATCCTCTTAACATGAATTGTCAATGCTTTCAAGATAATGATTATCTCACCAGTCCAACGCATTGGCCAACCCAAGGGCAGTGATGGTCAAATCGCTCAACACAGTTATTGCATATTGAACAGTGAGAGCAGCGGGGAGGTCTGTAAAGCATGCAGGTGTCGCAATACTTAATCTTCACAGTAATCCCATTAACATCAACTTCCTTAATGCGAGGCAAGCGTAACTGGGGGGTTCCTTCTGTATTTCCTTCATAGCTTTCAGGTTCGGGGGGGTGCGCATTACGAGGAATTATACCCGGATCTCTTCCAGAAGCTAGCAGGAGAAGAATTAAATCCTGAAATTTCGAAGAAAGCTTACAATTGACAATTTGGCTTCCAGAAATAATTAACAAGTCTTGCATCAATAGTCTTTCACGTGCCATGTAAATAAATGCGCATCTAGTTACCACTAACTATTGATACTAATCTAAACCCATTACAATTTGGCTTCCAGAAATATTCATAATTCTTGCATCAATATTCTTTTATGTGCCATGTAAAATAAGTGCACATCATAGTTACCACTACCTATTTATGCTAATCTAAAGCCTTATTATTTGACAAATGTAAAATGTTGAGAGTATTCTGAAAAAGAATCAAGGTCCTGAGTGAGAATGCTAGAGTAAAGGTGCACAGTAGTAAAAGGTTAGCAAAGTCAGTCGAGAGTTTCAACACAATAGACAAGCCCTTTGTCTTGTCAAACGCTTCCAGTATGACAAGACGACCTCAATATAAAGGCTTGACTGATCTCTGAATTTGAATGGTCCATGCCTGAATGATGATTGATGATTCACAAACACTATTGGACAAAGACACCACCAGCATGAAATTAACAAATACTATTTCAATGCAACAGCTTCCATATTTCCAAAGTAAATCACCCATCAAATTTAATAGCTTAGCACAATTTTCTTGCTTCAAATGAATGAAGGATATATTAGTTAACGGAAATTAATATAATCCATTGAAGAGATCCATCCAAAACCTCCCATTTAATGTTTCTCCAGAAGGCCTATTATCAATGATAATGCCATTAAAAAAGGAAAAGCTAATTAGAAAAAAGTCATCCCATATCTATATAATTTTTCAAATAAATGGAAATGTTCATATGTTTTCAATTTCTAGTTTGCCAGCTCATAAAACTACCTAAACCATGAGTTCAGCATGCATCATTGTTGTTTTTGATGAATGAAATTCTAATTTTAATCCTCCATGCAGATACTCTAAGTTGAACATGCACACAAATTTCTAAAATAAAAAAATCTGAAGTGCACAATGTTGCCACATATGAGCTAAGAAGCAAGGATACGGATACGTAATTCAGATACGATATCGATACGTTGATACTACTTTTTTGAAAAATTAGGATACACCGATACGTGTTATGAAATTCATTATAATTTCATTAATATAGAAGCATGATAATAAAAATAAAATAAAATATTAAAGCACTTTATCTTAATCATTAACCGTCGAAACTTCATTTTCTTCAACATCCTCAAATATCAATTTTTTCATTATCATTAAAATAATATTCTCCAACTCTGACTCATCTAATGATAGATCAGTAACCTCTAGCAATCTAATACCTTCAAGATTCTCCGAAATTGCTCCACATTTTTGGATTCTTTTTTTGAATAGAGATCTAATTTCATGATAAAAGACACAAATTGCTACGAATGAAAAATAATTCTTGAGCTCGTTGTGGAGTTCTTTTATTCATTCTCATAGAGTGTACAAAAAAGTATGTATACCAATTTCTTTCAGCACAAAATGAAGAAGTTTCAATGTAATGTTTTGTAGCAAAGGTGCATGTGAAACAAGTAGCCATTAGGTTTTTGAATCCATGTTATACCAATTAGTGATAGAATCAAATAATACGGTTTCACATGTATTGAGAAATTAAATAATATTGTACATTTAAAAAGCCTAGTTGTCAATTTTAAAACTCGAATTGTGTATTTTCAATAAATATTATTGATATTCAATAAGTTATTAAAATAATTTTAAAATACATATTGGATACGTATCGAAAATTATACAAAAATATAAAATATTAAAAAATACGTATCAAAAATTTAAAAAAATATAAATATATATAAAATAATTAAAAAACAAGTATCCGGTACTAGGGTATCGGAGCTTGGATATGTATCAGATAGGGGTATATAACGAGTTTACAAGTATCGGTACTTCTTAGCATATGTGAGAGAGAGAGAGAGAGAGAGAGAGAGAGAGAGAGAGAGAGAGAGAGCATACATAAAATGTGAAAACAATAGCAATAACCATTATTGATATTAGATATTCTAAGTTAAATAAGTACGCAATACACACATTTCCCCAAAAAAAACAACACAGAGAGAGAGAGAGAGAGAGAGAGAGAGAGAGAGAGAGAGAGAGAGAGAGAGCATACATAAAATGTGAAAACAATAGCAATAACCATTATTGATATTCCCCAGTGATGTGAAAAATCATCCACCAGCTTTCTAGCAACAAATACACAAAACAAGGTGACAGGAGCCACAATCAAGAAAATAGTGAGTGCCAATGACCTCACATCTGGCCCAAATATAAACCTTCCCTGAAGAAAAAATTTCTGCACCAAGAAAACAAACAATCAATTTCAGACGTAACAAATAACAAGCATTAATCCTATCATTTTAAATTTCAAGACATACACAATCTCATAAATGGCTAAATCAAATCGGGCTATTTAATTCAAATAAAAATATTAGAATACAGATTTCTTTTCTTTCCTAGAGTAGAAGCTTTTACTTTACCACCACCAAAGAAAATTTCTAGCATCATAACTTTGGTGATGCAAAATCCACGTCTTAACTTCTCAGTAAACAATTATGTTAATTAAAAGCTTGTTTGGGATAAATTAAAATCCAATTAAAATTGAAAATATAGTCGAGTCCCACTCGTCTAATAAAAGTCAATAATAACGGCTAATTTTTCAATTTTAATCAAATTTTAATCTCTACCAAACACACTCTAAATAGTGAATAAACTAAAAAGGGCAATACAAGGAACTGAACCAAAGCACAAATCCATTTGGACCCAAGAAAAGAAAAAAAGTCTAGATAAGTCCACACAAACCATGATTTATTAACTTCAGTAGTTTCAAATGTAAATTAGCATCTGATGCAGAACATTTATCTTTACAAGAACAAAGCAAGTACATTAATTTGCACATTAATTTGCAGATGTCAGATTACAAGCTCAAGCTGCTGGGATATGCGGATGCAATAAAATGAGAATTAGGAGGAAATGAGAATTAACACCAATCCCTATCCTTCACATACCGTCATGCCCCATTCTAAAATGTCACCTAGAAAACTAATTTCTTGTAAACAATAAATTCCGCAATACCTCATCCGGTTACTAATCAACTTGACCAAAATAGTACATGAAATGGAATGAGATAAAATACGAAGCACTCTTATCTTTTTCTTTCTTCTTTTTCCTCTTTCCTTATACTAAGTATTACCTTTAAGCAACTTGAATTAAAAATATGCTTATGCACTAGCGCCACAAATTCCAATTAAAGGCATCTGTATTAAGAACCATTAAAGGGGAAATGGAGAAATTATTAAACAAAAAAATCCTTAATTAATAACAATATTTATGAACTAGAAAAGGATGAGAGAAAGTAGAACAAGGATGAACTCACATTGCTTCCTTTCCAAGTCTGGTAAATTCGGAGTGCATCAGACCCGTTTGTAGATCCGGGTAACGGATCGGTGCGCTGCGTAGGAGGAGGAACCACATGCATCTCTCTGTTAAGCTGAAATCTTTAACAGAAACCCTACTATAGGAAGTCGAGTCGATGCAATGAGTAGTCTGTACTCGAGCTAGTTAATTTGAGTATAATTTTGGCGATGGCTATAGCAGAAATGCCATGAGAGAGCGAAGGGCGTGTTTGGGAAGTGAGACAGCTAGAATTTTAGCTATCTACTAGGACTGTCCGTGAGTCGGTTCAGTTCGGTTCTGAAGAGAACCGAACCGACCCAAAACTTTCGGGTATTTAATAAATGGAATCGTCGGGTTCAAATATAATTATGGAACCGTTCGAATACAGTTCCGTTCTTAAATTTACTTACCTTCAAGAGTAATGTTATTCATCCCAGTAGGGATGGAAACATAGTTTATGTGTCTTTAAATGATAGGTTAAATGAAAGGTGAAATTAAATAACTTATTTAATTTCACCTATCATTTAATGACATATTAACGCTATGTAGACTGTTTTTTCATTCCCAATAGAGATGAATAACATTACTCTTAGATGATAGCGTTAATCTCATTAAGAAAAGGGTTAAATGTACAACATTTTTACACAATAAGTTTGACAGTCCTCTCACATGGGTGTGAGGCCTAGGATTGTGGGCTCCACCCCCATGTAAGAGGGCTATCAAAATGTATGTGTAAAAATGCTGTAAGTGTAGCATTTCTCTCTCATTGAATTGCAGCTTCAATTAAATATAAGAAATTATTACATTATTAACAGGACTCATGATATGCTAAAACTTAGGCTTGTATTTAAAAATATTGGTATTCGATAGTATTATTCGTTTTCACTAAGTAGATGAGTAATTGTGGTACTTCGACTCTTGCTTGCACACAATCTTTAAATTAGTATTAGGTCGTAAATGACTACATTAAGGTGTAATTGAAGGTGAGGAATAATCACCATGATCCACTTATGGGCTTGTTTGATACATATTATTTTAAAAATACATTTTTTCTCTCTTTTTTTTCAACAACACATTTTTCAATAAAATAATATTTCAATTACATACTCTCCATCAATATACTATTTCAAAATGTATTTTTAAGAAAAAAAATGAAACTTAAACATGCTCTATATATATTTTATTGAAGTGATTTGTTGAATTTGATTACGAGAGTCTACCCAAGAACATACTTAAATAAGAATTAATATTTGGATCGAGTTATGAATTAAACTCAGCTACCTGTTAGGGGTGGACAAAACCCAAACCAACCTGCCTAAACCGTTCGAACGAAATGGAATAAATTTCAATTCAAGTCTACGAGTTATGTATGGAATTCGAATTATGTAACATAAGAGAGATTTTGATTTGATTTATGCAAAATTAATTTGAGAAAGTTGTAAAACTTTGATTTTTATCAATTGGTTTTGGAGTCCCCTATCATTATTTATTTTAATTCTTGATTTGTAATCTAGTCTTATTCATACATTTCCGACAATCAATAAAGCTAATATATTTTAATTTTATTTTTAAGATAAATTAATTCTATTATATTCATGACCCAAATCTATTTCTAGTTCAAATTTGAATAAATATGATGCATTAAATTTTAGGTTATCTATATAATTACATACGTAATAAATATTATTCACGACATCTATTACATATTATTAATTTTGTCGAATTCTAAACTTATCGTGAGTCTCCCAACACTACAACAAGCAATTAATTATCTAATTGATGATCAAATAATTAAATAATTTAATGAGTATGTAAAATTAATTAAGAAATACAAGAAATATTAAACCACTAGTCTTAAATTAAAATAAATAAGTAATAAGATTCATCTTCATACAATACAAAAACGAATCTAGCTTAACATGCTTTTATATAAACTATAAGAACAATGAAAAAATATCTCCCGGATCATTACATATTTATTTAATACAAAAATGGATCTAGCTAGCATGCTTTTATATAAAGTTATAAACTATAAAAAGAATAATGAAAAAAAATATCATCTGGATCATGAAATAATGTAAGAAATCTTGATTTTCAATTCCAAAATCTTGATATAATTTCTCTTCAATTTTTGTTAGAGTTTGATCTTCTCTCTCAAAAGTAGTGAATTATGCTCTTGCTTTTGATGAATTTTATGATATTATTATTATTGTGCATCTAGAGGTTAGAGAGTGTTCTCCAACATTTTGGCCAAATTTTGTATTTATAGGAGTCAAAAAATAATTTGTCAACAATTTCAATTCCTTTAAAATTATACTTTAAAACGAAATTTGCAACAGAAGCCCCAGCATTATAAACAACGGCTATGCCAGTATCAACAATGTCTCTATCCCATCAAGTAGTCCAGCTCTCGAGTTTATTGTGTGTAGAGTCGGCATAGGTGCACCGACTATTTACTTTTAGCGCCCCTCCTAGTTTCAGGATTTTATGTTTGGATCCCAGTTTTCTTCAACTATGCACTTTTAATCTCGATCCTTAATCTTTCAATTGCATTCAATTGGATCCAAGCATCCTCCAATTGCTAATTTTAAGCTCGAATCAACTATTGAAAGTGTACAATTTAGTCCCAAACTTTGGATTTTCTCCATTTGCCCATTTTTCGTTCTTTTTGTTCAATTCAATCAATTTTCCTCGAATTTTACCTATCAAACAACATTAATATGAAATTAAGTCACAAGTTACCAAATTTAACTATAATTAACCACATTTAATTATCCAAATAAGTATATAAAATACATTTATCAAACACTCCCAAAATTTGAATGTTTTAGATACCCTTACATGTTTAATTACTCTAGTCATAAAGGTTACGAATAGACGTTTTGTAATGAGTCACATTTTTTAATATTTTTTCCATACAAGGATTAGTTCAATGCCCTTATTAAACACTCATTCTCAGAAACTGATTCCCAACTCAATATTTTCACCTAACTTTCATCTCTTAAGCCTAGACAATCCACACAAAATTTAACACACATGAAATTCACATTTATCAATATGTCTCCCTACAACAGCTCAACCACCGCCGCCATATTAAGACAAGACTTGCAACTTCTTGGGGGTCATAATGATAAGCTTGACCCCACCTTCTATGCACTGCTCCCAGTCGAGGTCCAAGCGACAATGAGAGTTCATCACAAGTATTGAACAGAAAAGTAAGCTCTCTATTTCGAGTCATGTGACTCAGTAGATCTAATGAAGGCTGGGATCGTCATGGAGACTCGCTCAACGGGCTTCTTGGGATGTCCACAATGGAAATGAGGCAGCTCCAAGAATAATCAGGGAGTTCGCCAAAAAAGCTGAAGAGACGAAGGTAAAGTTGAAAATGTTGAAATCTGATGCTGATAATTTTAACGAGGAAGTTGAAGCTATTACGATAAAGCAAGCTGAGGCAAAGTCGAAGCATTAGTTCGTTGAGGTAGCAAATGGATTCCTAAAAAAGAAAGTTCATTTTTCAAGATTTGAAGTCAATAACTTGACAAACCGAGTGGATAGGGCTAACAATATTCACAAGATAGCCTCTGATGCCTTGGAGGTTGCCAACAAAGAGAATGAGAAGCTAAAGGCTCAGGGAAGGTGGCTGAACTGAGGCGCCAGTGGGGGTTGCTGGTGAAGCTGTAGTGAAATAAGCACTTGACTCACTTTTATTAAACAACTAAGTATGATGGCCCTAGTGTATATTGGAGGAAGGTCACACACGATAAGGTCTTCAAGAGAATGACTGAGGTTTATCCCATGGTGAACTTGTATACTTTGAAGGAATAGTTTCTTCTGTAAGGGTCGACTACTCTGGCAGAAAATGAGCTTTTTTGAATGAATGAATGAATGAATAGCCACTTTTTCCCTCATTTGCCTATTTCCCTTTTATGTTTTGTAATTTACTTTTCGCACAAGTATAATTGCTTCGCCAAACCTTGTAACTGTACTTAATAATAAGCTAAACTTGATAGCTTCTTTCAAAAGGACCGCTTTATTCTATAATCCTGGCTGAGGTCATTTAGGAATTATAATTTGATCATCACATAATTACCATGTCTAATGGCCTTGGCTAAATGAAAGAAATTCGAACCTTAAGTAATGTTATACGTACTTTAGCAATCACTTGGTTTGAGTGAACCTTAATAATTTAAAAACAAATGCTCTTTCCATGATAGGGTTTGACCAAGGTAACTTAGTATGAATTTTGACCTACGCTTCGTAGGTTTCGAGGTGGACTTTCTTTTGGTACTTAGTACCCCTCTTTTTGAAACAGTTCGACATCCTTATATGGTGGATGATTCATTCATACCAAGGGTTTCTTCCTTGATGAATGATTCATCCATAGAAGGCTTCGTCTTCGTAGGTCTTACGATGGGCCCCTTCGGTATCCTTTACACCTTTTCTTTCGAACCAGTTTGACTTTCTTACATGGTGAATAGTTCATCCATGGAATGCTTTATCTTTGTAGGTATCAAGATGGACCTCATTTATGGTGCTTCGCACAAAGTGGTTCGACTTTCTTGCATTGTAGATGGTTCGTCCATGCTAAAGGCTTTTTCTATGGCAGATGGTGTATCATGGAAGGCTTCATCTCATGGGTATTAAGGTGGGCCCCCTTTGGGGATGTTTCGCACATCTCCTTTCGAAGCGGTTCGACTTCCTTGTATGGTAGATGGTTCATCCATATCAAGGTTTTTTCCATGGTGGATGGCTCATTCATGGAAGGTTTCATCTTTGTAAGTATCAAGGTGGGCCCCTTTAGGGTACTTCGCACCCCTCATTTTGAAATAGTTTGACCTTTTTACATAGTGGGTGGCTCATCCATACCAACGACTTTTTCTATGGTGAATGGTTCATCTATGAAAGGGAAATAACAAGATAAAATCACTTGTACTGAAATTAATTATATCGAAGAAAAAGTCTTTACATGGGTTGGAAAAGATCACATGGTTGAATAGATGAGTATTGCTCATTGATAATATCTTCGTAGATGTTCTATATTCCATGGATGGGGTTGGCCCTCCAACCCAATTCTTCAATTTT